AACAGGGCAATTACGTGGTTAGGCTTCCTTGCATAAGCAAGTCCTTAGGGAATGTTTGTTTGGAGATGATCATCAAATGTACTTTGCACTGCTGGTCTCCAGGAACTGTAAAGAGATGGAGACAAGATGTGTCTCACGACGAGGCACACCTAGTGTCTAATTTGTGACGTTGGTGCAAGAGGAAGGCCACTGCCTTCCAGCCTTATTACTGGCATTAATAACACAACGGTGATCACCTTTCGGAAGAGGCGGAGGCCAGCAAGTCCAAAGAGCAAAGCCACGCACAAAGAAGCAACTTGGGAACAACAAAAACCCAAGCGTATTAAGTGATCAAAGGATGGCTGTGAGCTGCCAGCATGACACATCTGTGAGAAAGGAAAACACGATGCTAGGATGTGCGGCCACAGTTACAAGCAACAGAGAAATGGAAATGCGGGTTCTGTTGCTTGAGGGGCCACTGAAACCGTGTCTAGAGCAGTGGACATGGATCAAGAGCATGCTAGTATAAGCTAGCCATTGATCTATACAAAACAGAAATCAGAAAGGGATCTGTAGCTATGAGGTAAGTTACAGCCCAAACTGGCATCCAGCAAAAGCTACTTGCAAAGCCATAGCTTAGCTGCATCATGAAAGGTCTCTATAGGGCAAATGCTAAAACAGGGACTGAAATGGGAGAGCTGTAAGGACCACGACATCTAATGTTTAAGACTTTTTCCAGCCACAAAACACTCCTCACTAGGAGTGCTGCAAATTAGAGAGGCTCAAGAGTGGCCGCAGAACAGCTGATGAAACCAAAAAAATGTTTAATTCACATATAGAACAGGATACATCCTAAATAATGCAATAGCATGATGAGTGATGTGGTGCCAACCTCAGCTGCAGACCCATCACCAAGTAAATAACACACACAAGGACTGAGAAGTTACAGGAGAACGCTCTAGGACAGTGGGGCACCAGTTGGTCCTATATCACTACCATGTGGTACAAACATATATATGGCATTGACCAATAGTATGAGTGCCAGCGAGGGGTGAGCCAGTGCTTCAGAGAAATCAGGCATTTTCCGTAACTCCCTCCTTTTTCAACGGGGTAGCACCCATTCTCATGATAACAGAATTATCTGCCCTAAGATTTATAGTCAAGGCTATACACTGCATGTGTGTGGCAGCATATCTCCACTCAGTGCCAGACAACACAGGCTTGTAATTTCACTCACTCTTGGTGTTCATCCAAAAAAAAAAAAAATCGGCCTTATCAAATCTCAGTGTACAGCAACTAGTTTAGAAAGTTTATGATGCCAGAGACAGCCAGAGCTCAGGAAATCAAAGAAATGGCAGAACTAGGCCATCTCTGTTTCCACTGCTCAGACTGACTGGGGAGATGCTGGATATCACAAGTAATAAGCTCTTGAGCATGGTCCAGTTGCATTTAACAAAGTGACCCACGATGCTCAGCTTACATTGTTATATCCCCTGAAGATCTCCAGCTCCCTTCAGCATTTTCATTATCCTAGACCGCTGCATATGACTCTCACTCTTAGGGAGTTTTTCTTAAAAAGAGAATTTTATAAGTTATTCCTCCAAGGGAACAGATGGGTTATTACATTTTTTTCTTTTAAGGGAGGAAGTCAAGAAGCATCAAAGTGTTACTATCCAACCTTTCCCCAGGGAAATAATAGGATACGGTTGAATTCTGCTGTCAGACAACCCGTGGTGATTTCATTCAGTCGACCTCTCGAGTATTGTCTTGTTCCCTCATCACGTCAATCAGTCGCTGAGGTTAGTTGCTCCAGGCAGAAATACACCTCTTGGACAAAATTCCAGGAGATCTACTCAAGTCTGGCTCTCCGTGACTCACCTCCGTCTCGTCTCATCTCCTTCTACCCCAGCTATTTCCAAAAGCTACACCAGGTGTTACTTCCTTAGGCACAATATGACCACTACAGAAAAAAAAACACTGTAGAGTGAGCTTGGCTGTCTGAATATAAAACATTGAGCCAAAGCAAAGCAGGCTACAAAGCAAGCCTGAGAAGTCAGTTTGACACCTGATAGCCATAAGGGGAACACTCCAGATATAGCATATTCTGGCAGCCACAGCAAATTTTGTGGACCAAATGGTTCATGACGTCTAAGTTATCCTGTCACCCAAGAGGGGACTCCTTCAGGTAGGACCGGAGATCGGGGGCAATGGAAAAGCTGAGCTGGTGCTGTACTCACTTTGTTGTTGACTCTAAGGGTCTCCAACCTTCAGAGCTCTCAGTTTAGCGAGTCTCGAGCAACAAGCTCATACAGAATTCAACACCACAGAGCAACTAACCTTTCCAGTACACTCCATGCAATTAAAATACCATGTGAAGGAGTGCAACTGCTACAGCACAAGGAAACCAAAGAGTTTTTTGCTCAGGAACCACTCCCAGCAACTCCAGCAGAGCGTTGGAAGAGTCAGGATACAGAAATCAAAACCAAATGTAATTCAGAGAGCATTCAGAGGAAACCCAATGCAAGTTCTCCAAGCGAAAGTTAGCTCTTTGCTCTATTTGCTTGTCATTCTTGAACTAGCACAAGCTGGGCAAATTACACACTACAGAATATCTACACCAGCTCTATAGTTAAAAAAAATCCAAATTCCTGTAGAGAGACAAGTAAGAGCTCAACAAAGATGACACACCAACTTCCACAGACATGTGGAAGGCTGTAGTACGAAGTGTTGACACACTTCCCCACTGTGGTATACAAACCACTACCGTTATTAACGGAGATACCCTTGATCTGTGACCCCAATCCCACAAGCTGTGCATGTGGCCTCAGGCTGTAACCTCAGCCCACTCTTACTCTGCAAATTTTATCCGGTAATTGCTTACAAGAGCTTCAACTCAAGAAGGCAGGTAGTCGCTTTCATTCACTGTCAGGACACTCCGGAGCAGTAACATTTTCCAGCATAAGCACGAATAAAAGTTTTGTCCCCAAAAGGGATGTTCACAAGCAGAGTCGGCACAGAAAGATGGAAACCTGACAGTGAAAACAGGGCAACTAACTGTAGTATCAACTCTACGCTCCCGTTTTATTTCCAGATTTTTGAACAGCGTTGGTGTGAAAGCACTACTATCTCAATAGAGTCAGAGCTGTCAGCTGGGATTACTACTACTCTTTGCAACCCATGAGATTTTGAACAAGGCCCACACGGAACAAGTGGCCAAGTGACCCTGGTTTAGCCTGTGTTAGCGAGCCGGGCAGAGCGGAACAAAACCTAGAAGGCTGTTCCACGCACAAAAGCAACCTAAAATCCTTCTTTTAAAAAGATTATGGATAATTTCCTCCCAAACAAGTTCATTTTAAGAATTAATACAGGCTGCGACTCCAAGACAACAACAGGTAGGTCACAACAGACATGATCCCCCTCCCTACTCCCGTCTTTAACATCTGTTTATATATAAAAGTCACTATCATGAAATCAATCTCATGAAGCACTCCAGCTGAATGCTGTTTTTCTGTGGGAGACATTACCAGCTAAGACCTCTAAAACCTTTATTGAGAATATGGTTACATCACACAGCCTTTTAACAAATGAGTGGAGGATTAAGGTTTTAAACTTCCCAAAGAAATATCCTGGCTGTTGACTAATGCATTGAGCCAATGCAAAGGGGTGGGGGGGGAAAGGGGGAAAGAAGAAGAAGAAAAAGTTTTGGTTTTTCAAACAGCTCGACCTGTACAAATCTGAATCCAGACCTTCCATTTCGGGAATTTGTAAGGGCTCCGGGGAGATGAGGGGAGGCACAGAGTTGCCTGCATGTCATGAAAGACAGGGCAGGGTGCCAGCTGCATGTGCCAGCAGGAAACAGATGTATTAAATCTTTGGCTACAGAACGTTAACCCCAGCAAAAGATAACCACCACGGTCATATCTGTAATCCTCTGCAAAAGAAAAAAAAAACCACAACAGACACATCCACATCCTCCAATGCACTCAACATAAAAGTGACTAGCAAGGACTACACTGATTTTTTTAAGCCAATACCACTAATAGGAAATCTAATCAGGTGCTCTTTCAATAAAAAATAATCATGTTATGACAGATGCTGCATGTCCTCTGCCAGTTTTTTTTTTTAAAGCTTTGCAACATTTTCCTATGTTATTCTCCTCTGTGGCACCATCCAACAGATTCAAATAGGGTAAACCAATCGCTCATAGAAGGGAAACAGCGTGTCCATACGTGGACTACACTGGAAAAGATGTGCTGCTAACCTTCCCCTGCAAGTAGCACCTGCTATTTAGTCAAGGCTCTGGGTAAGCTCCAACCTGGTTTAAGGTTGCAGTCTCTTTAACTGAAAGTCAGAAAGGCCAGACATTAGCATAGCATGGGTGACTCAAGATCAGATTGATCCTTGTCTAGCAGAGATTGCAGTTTCAACCCTTGCTCGGAAAAAAAAAAAAACCCAACACACACTGACTGAGCTTTTTTTTCCTTCTTGCCAAAGGGCTGTGGAAGCAGAGCACAGCAACTCTCTACTGGAGAACAAGTTCTTAAAATTATATCCTTGTAAAAGGGATCGCATTACAATGAGAATTCACTGCAGGTCTACAAAGCTCACTCCCAGGGGACAGAACTAACGGGAGACACTGAAAACAGTCCTGGAAGCCAATGTTTACCCGCCTTATCACCACTGTACGACAACTAGCGCTCTTTAAAGCCCTCTCATTCACAGGAGCATGCAATACCCTATTGACACCCAAAGGGACACCAAGGAAAGTCACACTGAGCACCCGGATCGGTGGCAACCTGTGGACAACCCCTGCCGGCTTCACCCTGCTGTTACTAATTAAACACGTGACGCCACGGCAGTTATCAGCCCCATCTCACGGGGCAGCTTGCTCACACACACACGCACTAAACAACCGAAAAGAGCAAGCGTACAAAGTCAGGCTGTGGGTGCACGGACTTTCCTCGCATGCAGCTTTGGCCCGTACAGGAAAGCATGCCATTAAGCAACACCCTGCTGGTTACCTCTGACAGCAAGAGGGAGAATAGACGGCGCTCTGCCGGGCAGAACTGGCTTCCTACAGGCAAAAAGGGAGGAAAAGCCAAAATATAGTAATGTTAAACATAAAAAAAAAAAAAATCAGTCACCACGAGGCTTGCAAAAGGAGCCAGTGGAGGAAGAGGTGGTGGAGGAACAGGGTTTAAGAAACCATGACCCATGTAACATAGTCATGCAGGGCTGCCTCTGCAGATGGGTTTCCATCCTGCATCAACATGATGGCCCCAAAACAGCCCAGAAGCTATGGAAAGGCCTTTCCCCAACAGCCCAACAAGGTCGGAGGACTAGGATGGACGTGCACCACCATCCATCCTTGCAGCATCCATGGGCACCTCCATCCCCCGGGATGGTCTGTTAAGGAGGGGGCAGGAGGAGACCAGAAAGCAACAGGGAGCTCCAACATGTCCCAAGGAGCATCGGACAGCGCTTCTCCTCCACGCCAGCCTCCGCGGTGCCCCACCACCCCTTGCCCTCACCTTCCGTGTGCTGCTGCTCTTGAGGGCTTG